GGGTGACGTCATGAGCCAAACAAATTTCCCAAACTTTGGTTTGTTTGCAAATTAAACTCCCAACACGATGTCAACCATCCATCTAGTAGGTAGGTCAACAGTTGAATGTTGAATCCCAAATGTAAAAGCTTCCATCATTGCCAATATAAGAATGAGGGATTTCTTGTCTCTGGAATTATTCAGTTAATTGTTCCTCATCGAGCTGAATCTTTGGTTCCTCAAACTGAAATTCAGTACCTGAAACGTAGAACAGATGCTCCAAACGTATACTGTTACCAACCTTTAATTTTTTGATCAATGGATTATAACAATTCACTTTGAATCTTCCTGTTATTCCTCGTAAAAATTGGCGATAAGAGCTGCGTTTCAAAATACCATAGGAATTCTTATAGCCGGCTAAAGAAGGCTACAGAAAATCATTTAGCTGGCTGTAGAATGCGGAGAAAATCATACGGCCGTGGCCGGGCTATACGAAGCGATAAAAAATTATGCAGCCGGGCTATAGTTCTTATCGCCGGCTTTACACTTTATCTCCTGGCTTTTGCTTTTTCGCCATCGATTATTAAAGGCTATAAGAAATTGTGTAGAAATGTGTGTGCTTTGGAAATCATTAAGTTTGATATAGAACCACCTTAATATTTACAAAAAACACGTTATATTTTCCTTTATTGCATATTTCTTTTCATCAATTAAAATGAGAATAATCCATACAGGATGTGCAAACATTTCAAAATCATGAGTTGAATAACGCTGACTCCGCCAGATTAAATATTAGAGCCAGACACAAAGCGGAGCGGCGACGCACTGGTGCCTACAAACCCTACAGGGATACTTCACGCATTGCGCAACGCGTGAAGTATCCCTGTTAGGTTTGTAGGCGCCAATGCGCGTTTCGCGCTGGCTTCCCGCCTGTCGCGCCGCAGCGTGCCACGGCGCTTGAAGGAACTATTTCACACCAGAGGTATTTCACGGTATCATACGAAACTGAAGGCGCTCTGAAGCAGAGCAGAAGCAGATGCAGAAGCAGAAGCATTGCAAGTCTTATATGCCCCTTTTTCAAAGAATTCCTCAATTAGAAGCTTCAATTTCTCGCTCATTTTAGAGACAATGTATATATGATTAGTTTACCTATGCATATCGTGGTTTTCATTCATGAGCTAGAAATTGTAACTCCTTAAATACAAAATGCAGTCAAGTTCCTCCTCAGATGAAGGCATCTCAGTATTATTATTTGTAGTTATAAGCAAAGTTTTTAGCAGAGAGATGTCCGTCAAGTTGAGCTGTAATCAAGGATTTGGAAAATTAGCATCGAGGGATTATATACCGTTTAACAAAATTTAACTCACCTCTAAAGGTTTTTAACCTGTGGTATATAAGTAGAACTGGCTTTTATACCCTAAAATTCAGATCCCCTGCTCACTAAATTACAAACTTTATTTGTCTTTATGAGATATCAGTGCCTTAGATAGGACGGAGGAGGATAGCGCTATTGCTTCATCGAACTCTCGCCACATCCTGAAGCCATGTCCACGATATCAGTATTTTTTCACGGTTAGGCCGACATTAGCTGTGACGAAACCGTAATAATGCCCAACCTGGAGCCGGCTGCCTCTGGTGACGTTTGCCAGATTGGCATCGTTCCGTAGTGTCATTTTTATTTCATCTCTTCGATTTGATGAATCAGAGTGTAAGACATGTATATTTAATTACAACAACACGAAAATGGCAAAAAGCTGAGCCGGGCCTCCTCTTTTCCATAAAAAAATGTTTTAAAACATATTTATTTATTTATAAGGCCTCCCTTTTCCCATCATGAAAAAAGGTTTTAGTACAGATGTATTTAAAAATTCGCAGTGAAATCGCGATTTCATTGACGGCGATTTATCGCAATGTTATCGAGCAGGAAATCGTGATAAATTGAGATAAAATTTCGATTTTATCAAACGCGGTCGGTCTTGTAGAAATATAATGGTGACAACATCGAGGATAATCGCTCAGACGTCGATGATCCTAGCAATTTTATCGCCAAAAAATCGTAAAAAATAGCAACGTTTTTTTTTTTCAAAATATCGCAATTCTTTCGTTGAAAAATGCATCTTGGGTTACAGGAATGACAAAGCAACCAAATCAGTCTATATCTGAACAGAGTACCATTGTGTGGAGAGTATGACCTCCGCGGTTACCACCTCTGATTGCCCAAGGCATCTTGGGCTGAATGGAGCCTCCCAGCCCCCAAAAATGGCCGTTGGACGCTGTAAGTAAATTTACATACAAAATGACTCAAAATGCAGTTGCATATGCATACCGCATAGCGAAATTTACTCAAATGCATTATTACGAAGTATTTACATAGTTTTCCGGACGTATTTACATAGTTTACGTAGATCGTGTGCTATTTTCGAGAAATACATCCTAGGTTGACAGCAATGGTCGTCAAAAACCAAAATAAAGCGCCGCCATTTTTGGGCCCTGAGCCCAGTGGCCATGCTCTCCCCATAAAGATACTCTATATCTGTACCTATAATAACTGCACTACCGTCCCTTTGAAATCAGTCGGTGAGGAGACCGCTCGCCTAATTCAGCTCGCATAAAAACGGGACACGGATAGCGCGTCGCGACCTCTCCACCGAAAAACGCGACGCGGCACGGCAGTTCCTCTCTCAATTAGCGGTGCTCCAAGTCGTGCCCGGATCAGACCGGAAATAAATAATTACAGTCGACTTTATTTCAGGGCCCGGCCTGGAATTCCCGCCGGCTCGCCTCATTTTCGAAGCCTTTTCAGCGCCTTCGCGCCGTCCCCCCACAGGTAGCCTCATTGCCCGACTCGACCACGGCTTTTGCAGCCATTCCCGAGGAGCACAGATTGCAATAAGCAGCAATTACATAGTAAAAATGTTGCAATTTAACTGAGTGTTGTGTATGTTGCCTAGCTCCTATTTGAAGGAGCCCCGTTTATTGTAATAAAATTGAAATAAGTTGCACTTTTTCAATGCATTGCATATTGCCTAACTTTCTGACACATGGAGTTCATTTTTGTTGAGTGTTTCAAAACGGCATAAATCGACTAAAGGATGTAAAAATATTGCAGTTTAATGGTAAAAAAATTACAATTGTATTGAAATCACATTTCAATTTTATTTCAATATTTTCGTTGTACTGTGCTGCTTGGGTTGCGAAATCATGGCTTTGCAGCTACTGCGAAACCATGGCTTCTGCAGCCATTGCGAAACCATGGCTTCTGCAGCCATTGCGAAACCATGGCTTTTGCAGCCATTACGAAACCATGGCTTTTGCAGCCATTACGATACCATGGCTGTTGCAGCCATCGCGAAACCATGGCTTTTGTAGCCATTGTGAAATCTAGTCATTTTCTTTGGTCATGTTGCTTGGTTTTAGCGGCTCTGGTGCTTGCACTAGAGCTGCTATTCCGGACGGTCCCAGCTGGGGAGTATCATTGGACCATGTTTCATTGGAGAGACCGCGCTTTGGTTAATGGGAATCGGCGCCATTTTCGGCTATGTTCCTTGTCATGACTTTATTTTATTGCATATTGTTTTATTGTTAGCCAATGCTATGTTGTGTAGTGTATTTTTGGAATCATGGTGATACAGTCAATAATTCAAAACTTGTCTGTGCTTTAATCTCGTAATGGAAAAAATGTACTTTACGTTCAAAATTTGAAAATTTGAATTTTAAAGTTTTCGCGGTTAAGGAAGCTCCAACCACTGGGTTGGAGCTTCCTAGTCATATTACTCGATATCAGCTGATAGCAAACAAAGGTTACCAAGGAAACCGTAAACGTCTAACAACTACCGTGGCCATCGGGGCGATTATTGAAATGGCATCGACTCTATGTCGCCGCTTACGACAAGACATATAGCCCTATCTTAACCGTGTAATATATCGCAATTCGATATTCAAGACCATTACCTACAATTTCAGATATAAAAATGCAAATTTTTTGCAGCCTCGCTAAACGACTTATCAACCATGCATTCCAAAGTTTCTTATCACAGGGCTGTGAAAATATACAATCTAATAAATACAAAATAACCAAATATCTAAAAAGACAAAATTTCAGTTACAGTCAGTTTCAGTCTTATTGTTGCACAAACTAGTTATTTGACAAAAAAAGAAGATGATCACTCAATTGAAAGAAATTGGCGCCCAATCACAACGACAAGTTAAAAAAAATACTGTGGGAGAGATTTTTTAGGATGCGGACCTCCAAAGAGCCTTCAAAATTAAAAGTATACAACAAGTGATAGTGCCATGCATTCTGCATATCAAGGGCCAATACACATTTATATACCGGCTACGTAAATCTGCTAAGTTACAAAACATGAATCGACAGTTGTCGGATTGTACATCAGTGACAAAATGCGTCTAGGCCCTCATTCTTGACTACAACTACTGTCGCCAGAGCCGCTCTCCGACGCGAATGCGTTGGAGCTTCCTGCTTGTTTTTGTTACTTGCATCGAAAGAACTAATGATCCTGATGTCACGGGAATTCTTCGGAGTTCTTTGGACAACGGAAACCCCCCAATAAATCAACTTAAAAACGCACCAAAACACAGATTTTCAAAACGGCCCTTATTAAAGAGAAATATAGAGAAACTAGGAGGCACTGGTATATAAAACATTTTGGTTTTATTTTTTTGGCCCTCAAATAAAGAACAATTCTGAACCCCAGGGATTGGGTAATTTTCGAACTTAACGATATTCATCGAGGTTCTAGGTGGCGGTAGCCACCCCGGCCCAATCCTAAAAAACTCCCCCTAAAAAATGACGACAAAAAAAAAAAAAAAAAAAAAAAAAAAAAAAAAAAAAAAAAAGACGGGTGGCTGCTGCCTAACTAGTTTTACACGTTATAAACTTACGGAAGGTTTCATAAAGTTTTTAAGAAGAAAATCGAAGTTGCGCCTGACCCTAAAAACCATTTTTCTGTGGTAGAAAATTTTGTTGGAGTGGGGTCGTTATCAAACTGAAAAATTGGATCCAGTTGAAGATGATAGTTGATACTTGACCATTTGATAATGAGCTGCTTCCGTTTATCTGATTTTTCTCCGACGAACTTGAACTGTATCCACGTTTCAATTTAACCGTTCCTCATGTTCGAACGTATACTAAAAGTATGATTTCATCTCTGGGGTGCTCTATTTTGTTGATCCTTTCATCGATTGTGGCTTCGGTGAGTTTAAATAACTTTAATTTAAGCAGTGAAAAAAAGCTTTATAAATAAATAAGTGAGAGCATATTTAAAGGGTTGACCATATTTATACGCAGCATTTATTCAGGCAATTTAAAATTGACACGTGAGGATGAAATAATAGGTTATGTTTGGCGCACGCTAGCAGTTGACTCTTTTCAGCCATTTTTGGCGATCTTCAGTTGCTATACACGGAAATCTATTATGAAAAATGTCCCAAAGTCTGGATGTTTAGTTAAACTCATCCTTGAAGTGTCTCCAGAATGTGAAATCGATATAGGAAGAAATCTGCGGATCCTTCATTCCTCACTAAAACCCTCAAAGATACTCCAATAGCAATATAATTATATCCTTCTCTTTTTTTTAACACCTCCTAGGTCAAGTTGCAGTGTCTTAACGAAGCAAAACACCTTTAATAGTAGTAAAAAAAAAGTCTCACATGCATTTTTTTCTTATATAGCTGCGGTCGACTCAACGCCCTAGCTGATAACAGTACTTCTCGAATAAAAACTATTTGCGTTCATCTGTGGATTTTTATGTTTTGGCCATGTTTTGCCACTTTCAGTCAGCCCACCTGAAACCGTGGGAGAAGGGGAAGGGTGGAGGGTAGAGGGGGAGGGGTGGAGGGGGGCTACTCTTCCTTCCTTCGTCCCCAAATAACGCCACCACTGTGTTTGGATCGGTTGTTTTTTACGTATTTCATTTATTAGCGGATGGTGAGAGAAACCTTTGTTGTAAAATTTGGTGCATTGTCATGAAACCGTTAATTGGATTGAATTTTGCAAAAAAGAACCAAGAGCATTCCAATGTTGCTAGGATTGAAAAACTTAAATTATTTGCAAACAATGGACCACTAGACAAGGTACGAATTTCAGCATTCTGATACATGTTTCTTAACTAAAATTTCACGTAAAACACGATGCGCACAACGAAAATTACCGAAATGGACTCCTTACGAAGATATTTAATGATTCTTGATGCGTAAATTCAAACCACCCGCTCATGAAAACTCAATGCTCTACGTGATTCACATCGCGCGCTAAACGTTATCATGACAGTATCGACGATCTAAAAATCTGGCAACCTTAATTTTGACGCTTTGGCTCAGCTATAGCAAATTGCTTATAGTTTGAACAACACATGGTGGGAAATGAACATTGCTTGATTGAGAAGCTTGCTGAAACCGTTGTAGTGCGCGATTTGACTCTCGTAGAGCTTTGAGTTTCTTGTGAGCGGGCAGTTCAAATTCCTCGTAACCAATGTGAAATAAAAATGTTGATATCTTCGTTAGGAGTTAGTTTCAGTAATATTCGTTGCGCTAATCGTGTTCTACGTGAAATTCTGGTTAAGAAACATGTATCAGATTGCTTAAATTCGAACCTTGTCTAGTGGTCCATTACAGAAATCATGACAAAAATTAAATTTACAAACGTGATTTCTGTCTTAAGTTCATAATTCATAGAGAGTAAAGATAAAACTTTTTTAGATGATCAGTTTCTATTCGCAAGGTAAAAAAAGTTGCACAATCTTAGCGACACTGGAATGTTTGTGGTTCCTTTTTGCAAAATGCAATCCAATTGTGACATTTATTTCCATTGGGAACTCATAAACCAAAACCTCTGTTGTTTGTAGCCAACTACTCCACCACAGGGCAAAAGTTTTGATGAATTACTAGATTCACTAATAGCCGCAGAAACTAACCGGCAGACTGTCTTGAAGAAGACACTAGAAGTGGCAACTGAACGTAAAAGCAATGTGACGCTTAAATTCTTGGAGGTCATGGTGGAGGCGGATGAGGCGTTTGTAAACATACGACGATTTTTCGATGCTGGTAGGATTTTTTTCGATTTCAAGAAAGGAAAATCCGACCTCAAGGAAGTAGATGCATTCATGGTAAGATTGGCACCATTTCGTATCCTTCAAATGAGTGCATTTGTACCTGCATTGCTTTGAAAAAGTACCTTCATATAAATAGATATAACATATCGACAGCAGTGATCGAAACTCACCTTTGAGTTTTAGGAGCCATGTGGCGCATCAAGCCCGATTTTTAGGTGCCATTGAAGATTTTTTAGGGGCCAAATTGACTTTTTGCCTGTATATTACGGCGCATTTAGTGAAAAGTTAGACGCAAGATGTTTTTGTAACAGAACTAGTAAGTAGCTGTAACTTGTGGAAGACAAAAGCACTAAGAATGAAATCGTGAAGAACAGAAAAGCTTTCACTTGTAGTGCATACAATTCTGAGTTGTTTTTTAATTCAAATGAATTTGTTTTTCTTTCTTTATGTGACTTCCTATGAAAATCCAGATTTTTAGGAGGCAATTTTTAGGGGCCACGTTGGCGCAGAGAATTCATTTTTTGGCGGCATGGTCGATTTTTTAAGCGCATTTTTTGGCGCGTTGGTGCCTGTGAGTTTCGAACACTGATCAACAGTATCGAATTGATGAGCATTAAACATATATATTTGTTCTGTCCTTGGGTGAAAATTTGTTATTTTCGGGAATTGCCTCTGAAGGGTTTTTTTTTTTGAGAACCCTTGGTCAGATTGAAACCTATTTTCCTAATCTTTTAAGAATAATGCTAAATTTGTATTTTCCATTATGAACGAAGCGATGAGATGAAAGGTTATTTCCTGTGCTACAATCTTCTGTGCTTTATCTTCAACTTAAGATAGATGTGGTTGTTCAAATTAAAATTTTGTGTGCACGAAACGAAGCAAAAGGTCACAAAAGATTTCACTGTTACGCTGAAGTAAGTAGTGAATTTACAACAGGGGAATTTTACACGATAGAAAAATTAATTTACATCATTCCGTCAGTTCTTGGCTTTCATTTTTGGCATGAATTTGTTTTCACCTTTCACTTTACTATTCTTTTTTTTTTACACTTAATACTACTACGAAAAAACTTTTATCTTTACGCTAGAAAACTGACCTCTTGCGAAAGGAGAATTTCTTGAATGATCAAATGCTTAAGCTGGCCGAAACACACAAAGCTGCAGAGGCTCAAATGCACCAGGATCTGCCCCAGGACACATTGAGCTTAGTGCAGCCTATAATTGTCGCCCTCAAGGAGAGTGAGGAATTGATAGCTCCACTCGGAAAACAATTCCAAATTAATTTGGAAGCGACTAACAAAGAATCACCCACATAAGATCATGAACTTTCGATGTTTCACTCACGCCTGAATGATTCTATGTAGAACATTACTGACATCATATTTCTCTTATAACCGATTTTCTCAATAAAAATTTGTAGCATACGACTTTAGTGTTGGTTTATGGAAAGGGAAGAGGAAAGGCGGCCGCCTGCCCCATTTTCTAGGAATTTAATTTCTTTCTATTAAGCGGGATATATTTTCTTTTTGTGAATGGTGATTTATTACAACAACAACAAATAAAGGGCTCTAGGGGTACCAAATTTTCATAATTTTCCCACGAAAAGATCCTTGAGCCTTCCTTGGCCAGGTAGAGACCCCTCAAATCCCCCATTTTGCTTTTCAAAATTTTGCTCCACCCCCATCCCCCTTAAATTTTAACCCACGCACCACCATTGCTCGATTTAAATGCTATATTGGAGAGCTTGGAGGAAAAAGAGAAAAATAAATTAAAGTATACTTTGACTGGTGCAATGGAGCATTATATGTTATAGTTGTAGCATGTATAAAATGGAAAAAATAAGTCCCTTTTTTTACAATCAAATGTAAGTTTCGATAGCTCTTATAGTTACTCGAACAGAGTTGCGTCTTTTGGATAATTATGGGCAGTTGAACGGAGACTGAAAGACATTTTCGATAAAATTTTCATATCAAACACTGAACGGTCCTTTTCTCAAAAAACTTTATTTCACGACTTACGGACCCTCTCGATAACACGGCAGCAATAGACGGATTTAGTGACTGCGTCATTTTTCGATGTTCTAATCGATTTTCGACAAATCGAACCAAAGCTATAAAACATAAACTTAAATCCAAAGTTCTGTTTATAATTTATTATTGCCTTAGTTCATAACGGTAGTACCTTTAACAATTCATAAATCAATCATTGACTCGTTGAACACGAGAAATTTCGATTGAAAAAATCACTTATATTGGTGCCATTAACAATTCATAAATCAATCAGTGACTCATTGAATACGAGAAATTTCGATTTAAAAACACATTTATATGCACTCCAACACCCTGGCGTGAATGCGGTGAGGTAGCGTTACGTAGATCGAGTCAATAAGAGAGGTCGGACAAAATTTGGAAACTTTAAACGATTATAACTCCGTTTATACAAAAATTTGAGGTTCTAAAAGTAGTTTCATTGGTTTCCTCTCATAATTCTCTTTCAATAACACCCCTCGGAATTAAAAATGTGACAAAATAAACATCAAAATTTGCAGTTTTAGTAAAAAATGTCATGTCCGACCTCTCTAATTGACTCGATCCGCACTGTGTGGCCATTCTATAAAATCGGACCCTCAAACTTGAATATAGAGCGAATAACGTAGCGACTAAGCTGCCGTGGTATGGAAAAACGCCGTATGAACCTTCAGGCGTTGCCAAATTCCCATTTATAAAACACGAATTTTCTGGTGAACTCATGAATATTTTTCTTCCAATTTTTCAGATAATGTTGCTTGCAATTTCACCTACAGTTCCTGAAAATTTCAAGGAAAAATATTCAAAACTTTCCTAAAAAATAAACATTTCATTGAAGGAAATTTGGCAACTCTCGAATGTTCATACGGCGTTCTTCCTTAGCACTGCAGTAAGTCCATGCTCTTGGTTATAACAAGCTGAGGAGTCATCAAAACCCTTACCCCCACTCTACCACCACACTACCCCCTCCTACCCCCATCCTATCCCAACCATACCCCCTCCCTACCCCTCGGCTCACCCCCCGACAACTCATCGAGCAACCAGTCGCGAAGCGGGTGGGTGGTGGGTATGCAACACGGAATGCACCTACCATGACTTGCAGCGGCGGCGGCGGAGGGGCGGACGCAACACGCAAGACAGAGACGGCACACTGGACGACGACCCGCACGGCGCGGCGACGGACACGACAGCAGCGCCTGACTGAGCGGCAACCAACACGGCGCCCCTGCGACGCTGCTTGCGGGGCTTCCGCTAACCGGATTAGCGCCGACTTGCGACCCGGCTTACGACTCCGGGCGCGCGCTGGTGAGAACCACCCATGTGAAGCCGGGACTCTGGGGGCGATGTGTGGTTTTGGCGAGAGGGTAGGACGGTGTTCGCTGCCGGCCGTAGCGGAGCCGGCATGGACTGGCGTGACCGGCCGGCCCGATTTTTCGGTCGATGGACGCCCGAACTGGCGACAGGACGGTCGGAGATTATTGGGGTTTTATCGCTCTTTATCCATCGACCTTGATAGATATGAGGAAATGGGTGGAAACACGGTTTAATGGAGAATTTGCATACAAATTTTTTATTACTTCATTTAAAAGTGCTTAAAGAGCTGATTTCACAGTAATTTTTATAATTTTTTTCTGATATGGGTAACAGTATAAAAATCGATTTTAAAGTGAGAAAATGCACCGCCTAGTGACGTCATCTGGCGGCATTTCCCATTTAAACACATGTATTTCAGCAGATTGGAGCATTTCGTCATATCTCCTCCAGTTGTCGTTCAATTCATGAACCAAGGGCATCCTCGTTTTCAGTTCGCTTAGTAGTTTCCACTTAAACTCGAAATTCATCAAATTTCAGACACCTGCAAATTTTCCATTGTAGCTACACCGTTTTTACGAAGATTATATTTTTGTGTCGGACGCACAAGTGTTACCGTATTCACTGAAAATAAATGTAGAAGAATTTATCATACTCTGAGATCCGAGTATGGTAAAAAAAAAAACACTAAACTCTATGGTAGCATTTACCATATTTTGGAAATTATCGTCAAAGTTCTGGCGGATACTATAATTTTTGTCATTTTCACTAGATAGTATCACTGTGTTAAAAATCAAATAGACTTATAGTAGATGTTACCATACTTTTTTTTCAGTGTACACTAAGATGACCGCATCTCAATTTTTCAGCAATATATAACTCTTTCACCGTCGGATTCTTTCAGCACAGTCACAAGACCTTTGATGGGGCGAAATAAATATTCCACAAATAAGTCTGACACTTTGGCCTTGATTATCATTTTTTCAAAATCGTAATCCCAATTAAAAAAGAAAATTGTGAGATATACGAGAGCGTTATTCAATTTTTCTACCAGCCTTTCTTCCCAAGTCATGACTCGCTACTGATACCACTTTTTTCAGAACTTACATGTGAATTATTTTATCTCTAATATTTTATCGTCTGCGACGAATCAAAAAACAGCAAAGGACTGCGTTGAAAATTTGAATTAATTCAACCTCTGAACTTTCGCTTTCTCGATATTAAGCACTGATACTTGATGCGATGTAATCGTTGATAATTTGAATTTCACTTATAGACTGCAGACAGTGTCTGTGTACTGTGTTGTGCGTGCTTTCAAATCGTATACGAAGTTCAGCAACTCAAAATAATTATGGGTTTCTATTCGTCTGTGTGCTTTGTTGCAATGTTGATTCTAATGGTTGATATCTCCGTAGTACTATGCAACGCTACCTTTTCCGAGGAAAATTTTTACGCAGGAGACTTGGATCTTCTAGGATAACTCCAGCGATCGTGAATAAAACCGTCTTGAAAAGTTATAAAAGCTAAAGTTATAAAAGTTATGAAAAAGCGTTGTAAAAGCTACCCACAAGTGTATTATATTCCTCTCATGATGTTCATATTACGATAGAAGAAACCATCGATTGTTAAGTATAACTTCTGGGGGGATTTGGGAACCGTAACCGTAAAGAAATATATTAGTGTCACTATGAAAAACTGTGTTGATAAGAAAAATGTGAAAAAATGTCATTACGTTCTTGAAATCAAAGCGTAATTATTCCAAGTAGAAGAATATCGATTATGTTTGGCAGTTTTTATAGCAGTAATATTTGAATGTTACTTTCGATATCTTCGTCCACGAAAGATGAATCTTATAACGATTTTTAAATTGAAACAAAATCTAGACAAAAGCTAATACTTTTGAATACATTTGGGGGAAAAAATTGCAGGCTTAGATATTTTACCTTCGATACAGATTTAACCGTTTTCAATAATTTGTTGTAATAATTTTATGATGCCTCAACGAATTTTAAACTCCAAAAAATAGGATTTCATCACGTTAAGAAGAAATTGTCACGAGTTACCTTAAATAAATGTATCACTTGCAGTCCTACTGTTCCCACTCATTTCCTATGCATTTTCTTTGACGGATTTTCATCGAGGAGATTGCGCTATCGCTTTTACGACCGTCACAATAGCTATAAACCCACCTCAAGTAAGCTAATTTTACGTATTTTCATGCTGATACAGATCACTCCTTCGTTCTTAAGTTCAAATCACAAATTCGCTGTGACAATTGTGTGCTCTTTTTTGACGCCTTGTGCAGTATGTTAGGCGTTTATTTAAAAAGTCATTAAATTTTCCCCTCTCAGCCTAACTTACACTTTCATGATAGAACGTGTACATCTCCTCGATTTTAACCCATATTTTGTCTTCTACTCGAAATATTTTAGAGTAATGCCCATTAATTCTGTGATAGTCGAGTAATGAGAGCTTTTGGAACTTTTGCTTACCCTATTGTATGTAAAAATGGTCTTCTAGTTCTTATTCTGCTCTTGAGATAATTTTTGTATGGTTACAATGTCCTCTCTCCCTTTTATTGATGTTTTTTAGCTTTCGGAGCTTGAAGTGTTAAAAAGTTTCTTCTTATGAAATGAAGCTATTTTTCCTAGTTATGCTCTGTGCTATTCTGGACAGTTAATCCTTCGATTGTGCGTGTAATTACTATTTTCCCCCCTCAAGAATTGACCCTTAGTTATCTACCCTGCTAATATTTGAATAAAGACCATTCACCGAGTACTTTCAGATTCGTTATTTTGATGAGACACTAAGTACACGAAGCTTAACTCATGGTGATCACCCCAAGGTTTTGGGCCAAAGTTCTCCTTCTTTATTTTGCTTTGTTGCATTTCTTTAGAAGTTGAAATATGTGGTTGAAGAATTAAACAATCCGGTTCAAAAATTGTTGTTCTTAAAGCAGTCAATACAGTGGATACGTTGACGCGAAGTAAAATTTCTAACTTTATTTTCTTAGATGGTAAGTACCTACAATATCTTATCTAAAATAGAAATTAAATTAATGTCCTTAAGAGCATATCAGACACCAAATGTATACATCCAATACTAATGGAAATATTGACCTTCCAAAACCACCATTTACACTTTAAAGTAAACAGGCACGTACCGTAGTTCCCTCTACACTGATCTGATCAATAATACTTGTTGGGAAAATATTTAAAAATTTCACTTGACACTGAATACCTAGTGACAACGCTGTAAAAGAAACCATAATTCTCACTAACATAATGCATGTATGGCGTCATCTGGCGTACTTTTTTCAAAGAATAGCGTTCTCATATTTAATTTTTTATTTCAAAACTTACTAAAAACTGCTTATTATTTTTTGCTGCCCTGCGAAATCCACTGATAGCCTCTGTCTCTCGGACGAAATAATAGAAATTGCGGTATACCGCACCGGGCACCGCTGCTTTACGAGTATAATTCAAGGTTCGCGCTCTATAAGCAACTATGAATTTTGATTCTTCATTTTCTATTTTCCCGGAACCTTCATTGTTCTTGATTTTTACCTCCTCTTTCCTTAACGTTTCGGCTCGATCCGTAGTAGCGTCGCACAATGAATCGAGTCTTTTAGAGAGGTTAGACATACATTTTTTTACTAAAAACTGCAAATTTTGATGTTAAATTCGTTACATTTTAAAACTTTAGGGGTCCATTTAGATGAAAATTTTACGAGAAAACCAATGGAAGCTCTTTAAGAACCTCAAAATTTTATATAAATGGAGTTATGAGTGTTTAAAGTTTCCAAATTTTGTCCGACCTCTCCTATTGACTCGATCCATTGTGCGTCGTCTCAGGCGAATGAACTGTTAAGCCTGTTCTGAACATCTCCACGATAAAAAAAATGAAAATTCACAAATGGGGGATAACATTTCTCCATTTTTGGAATGAATAATAACCGTTCCTCCGCAGTCTTTTTCTGTCTAGTTAAGTGAAGGCGCATATTTCTAAGTGTTTCCAATGAACTCCAATCTCACTCATAAAATTCCGGTACGCATTAACACTTTCTCGTAGACCATTCGGAGATCTCGTAAACAAATTACTATTTATTTTTCTTGGTTACCAAGCATGGGGCAGAACTCTGATTAAACAACTTCCATCCCTAAAAATTAGCTTCAATTCCCTCGATCTTTTATTATATACCAAGGAATATTTCTGATGCCATTTTTATTTTGAAACGATTTATCACTGCAAGTGATAGAAACATGCACAGTAATCACTTAAAGTGCGCTCAAATGGACTTTTAATGAAGTTTGATCTTACCTAAAAAAATCATGTTCAAAATTTTAGCAGAAAATTTCAAGATTTTTCGATCAAAATTAAAAAAGTCCATGCCTGCATTAAAGTTTATCTAAAATCATTAAAATTTCCGTCAACTGTTCACATTTTTCCGTATTAAAAACCATTACAAGCTCTTGTGAGGATCTAATTCATTGGCGGATCCAGTGAATTGGTAACATTGTTTTTCTCCATTTAAACCTATGGCAATGTATGATTCATAGAGGGGCCAGGTGTTCTGACAAGAATCGATTGTTTAACATAGATTTAAATGGAAGGAATCCGGTGCTGCCAAATTGCTGGATCCTCATTTGATCTAGTTACAAACTTTTACCATCGGATTTCACCCAGGACTCGTAAAAATTGTCCCTTTCGATGATATTTCAAGGGCCAGCACAGAGAAAATTTCAACACAAAAGTTTGGATAATAAATATGGGAAGTAAAACACAAAATAACCTTAGCCCTCGGTTGACAATTTTAAGGGAAAATGCTTTAAGAGCTATTTATCTTAGAGAGATTTAATAATAAACGAGCGGCGAATACCAACATCGCAATCGAAGGAATGCATTTTCCCAGTCTTTCCATTATTTTTTGCGCTAAATTTACCGCAAACTGTACCAAAATCAACACGAAATTTGTGTTGGTTTGTGTGTCACTTCCTATAAATTAACCAAGAGTAACACAAGAACACACACATTCTCATCAGTGTTCCCTAAAGCGCATTGCAAACCATATGAGGCCTCCTTAGGAAATAAAATGTTTAAAAAAAATGACATTGAATTGAACACGACTCAATAACAAAGATGTTGTTTACACTGCGTTGAGGAATAAACAGAAAAATCCAATCGTTCAGTTTTTCTGAAGTGTCTCTTCCAGCCGTGCTAAGGATAAACACCATATGCACCTTCAGGCGTTGCCAAACTTCCTTTAATAAACCATGAATTTCTTGGTAAACTTGTGAATATTTTCTTTCCAATTTTTGAGATAATTTTGTTCACAATTTCACCTGTAGTTTTTGAAAATTTCAAGGAAAAATATTCATAACCTCCGCAAAAATAAACATTTATCGAAGGAAACTTGGCAACTCTCGAATGTTCATACGGGGTTTTCCCTCAGCACGATAGCTTTCAGCATTATGTTTTGATCGGAGCCATGGATTGGGAAACCTCGTTTTGTCCTCGTGCCAGTGGCGTTGTGGCGTGCTTTGCGATATATCGATTGATCTGCTATTTAAACCCATGAAAAGGATCGATAAACAGGGTGTGCGCAGCGAACACCTTGATAATCGATTCTTCACCATAGCTTAAAATGGGAAAGTATCGATAATCGATCATTCTTGCCACGCCACTGCCTCGTGCCCCAATTTCACAATGCATCAACGGATGAAACTTAGTATGACGCCTCACTTTCCTGTTTCCCCATCATTATTTCACCATTCTCAGGATAAAGGAGTGGATTTCCTTCACCCTATAACCACCCCTAAACATAGCTGTTGCACGATAAATGTCAAGTCGCCTTATTCTACCGCTTCTCTGGAGCAAGGGCGTATCTTTGCTCGCACTTGATCCATGGAAAGTGTGGCATTAGACGGACGGCAGGGGCCATCTCAAAATATCGTTACGCCTTTATGTCCGAGGATTAACGATTTATGATCAGGACTCAGTAGGTCGAATCTCTCTCTTTGTTGAAAGCTAGTAATAGGCGCTTTAGCTCGGGGAAGTCACTGCGTTTGACCGTGTTCTCGCCTCTCAGCTCCGCTTTTTAACGAGGAAAGAAAAGAGATGCTAAATTTTAAGTAAGAATAACCCCCAAAGTTACTATAGACCTATTCAACCTGAAGTTTGTGCGATTTTACACGTGAAAATTATATTCAATTGGTTGCATCTCCTCTTCGCAACAGACTCATTTCGTCATACATTTTGCAATTAGGACCCCCACTTAGGATTTACAATCTCTGGCCCACCCGTAAAAACACTGATGTGATTAGGGAAACTAATGGTTCATACGCTGTTTCTAAACTGAGCCAGAATCATTACTTCATAATAAATTGCAAAATGTAGTTCATTTTTTTCTTCCAAGTAACTCAAATTGCATACCTAACGAGGCAAAGGCGGACTCAATGTTTCCATTCTTCTCTTGAAAGTTTATCGATATATCAAATTACGCAATGCTGCAACTATGTCAACTTTGGATTAGCAAAAATTGCATACTCACTGAAATGTAGGCAAATTCCGCTCCTTTTCCTCTTTATAAACATGGTTCTGATTGATCTAAAAAATACCTATGATGGACGAGTACCTGTGTATCTCATTTTACCAGTTCAAAAATAAGCAGTACATTACAGTACAATTATGTTTGATTTCTTTTTCTCTTTTTTCACAAGAGAGAACAATTGCATCGATTATCTTGATCAATGTTGGGAATTTGCCTCACGCTACAGCGACAATTTCCTGACATTTTCAATAGCATTCATGCAATTTTTCTTTTTGTCATGGGAACGGAGTTCCCCATGATATTACAATCGTTCCGTTGCTTTCGCTATGGGATTCCCTATACCTCTGCGACCTTGAGCGTTTCGCCCAGTCTCCGATTTTTGGTTGATTTTCCGATGTATCAAAAACCGTTGTATTTTTTAGCCGATCATGTCTCTACGTCAAGTTGTGTTGATTTCTAAAATTCGCTTTTAGCGAGTTTTTTTCCACTTTGAGATGTCGTGTCTGACTGGTAAATCTGCGCAGAACCACGAAGTTCCGTTTTTAGGCAAATTCTTTTTTTTGGGAGGTTTTCATTGGCTATTTTTCGCCATCAGTTTTCTGTTCGTTGGTGCAAAAGATCGCCTACCTCGTTGCTCTTGAGAAGCCGCCATTATCCCACCTCAAATTTTCAACATAGATATAAAGAAATAATAACCATCGTACAAGGCGGAAAATTGTTCTGGAGGACCCGTTACGGATATATGAGCCAAAATCAGAACTCGATTGATGGATTTAATCCATGAATACAGAAATATTGCCCCAGTTTACTGCCGCGATCGCAAATGCATTCTGACATGAACCTTGTGACACATTACAGCATAGGTAAACAATGTCTCACAGAGTAATGGGCTTGATCCGTTTTCTCTTACCACGCCAGTGGCCGAACCGTTGAAATCTCAAGGACGTCTTTTGTGAAGCCCCGCTCAGCGTCCGAGATCACTTAACTGTTCTCTTTTTCTCCTCCTATATCCGAGCGGCGAGATAGCTCAGATAACTACAACACCGTTCTGACCCTGGGAAAATGTCACTTTTTGTGGGAGCGGGGGTTCGAATCTCGTAGGGGACAGCTAATTTTTACTGGTTGTATTGAATGTTTTAGACCAATAATCTAACAATAATTAATACTTGGCAACTTAGGAAGCACATAGGTCCCTTATGATGCGTATTCGGGCATATGTGTAGAGTAAAAATATCATACGTAGGGTGTCCCAAAAATACCGGGACTGGTTCTGTAACTTCAAAAGTAAGATAGATGCAGACATGATTTTGGTCTCATTTTAAAGATCAACTCAAACCTATCGATTAAAACCAAGATCAGCTCAATCGAATAAAAATTGACCGAGTTATGACAATTTGAAATTAGTGAGGAAAGTTTACCCCTACGGTTTTTAGGAAGATTTTTCGCTTACCAGGATTCAAAAAGTT